ATCAGCATCTGAAAAAAACACTTTATTGTTAAAGACCCTACACTTGAAAGATTTTTAAGCCTAATATTTGTCATAAAATTGCATCACTTCTAGTTTCCATTTTTCAAAATGCCACAACTTTCTTAAAATTTATTTATTCATACTTCAATCTCTGACATCATTAGGTGCTCCTTTAATGAAAGTAAACCATATCACATTTCTGCTTTTTCTCTGAAGTAGAACCTGTATTAATTCCACTTTTAAATGCGGATTGCATAATTGTTGCAGTTCTGAGTATTGTCTAAACAATTCTAATCTCCTTAATCCTTAGCAGATGTAATGAGGTGTTTTTCTTCTTGTACCTTGGATTCTCTGCTTTACCTTAGCATTAGCCAAATCTGATGTGAACCTTTACAAATTTCCATGCAACATCTACGCCGAGTTTACTGCTGCTTGTAAGTGGCAATAAAGAACCACCTTTGGTGCTTGTCAATGTGTTGATTATGTGACTTACTGCTAGGATTTACACACTCTGCTTTTCATTACAGTGATCGTTATCTTTTTTGCTGTAAGTGCAATGAAGCAACTAGAATGTCACAGAGAAAACTGTCACCTCTTCCCCTCCCCCACTCTAAATTCACTTTTCCTTTATTATGAAACATTACTGATGAAAAGGACAATGGGGAAACAATACTAGCTATCGGAACATTACAAAAATGAGATTCAAATGTGAAAGCTTACAAAAATAAAAAAGTCCCTTAAATGGACTGTATTTCCTTCACTTTTTGCATCAGTGGAAGATATATCTAATTCTCTCCTTAATCTGTATTTCCTAATAATAACAAGCTATAGCTCAAAGATTCTTCCAACTCTACCTGTTTATGAATGTAAAAGGTTATGGCTGTTCAGCTTTTAGGAAGCCAAGCACAAGTACTACATAAAGCCCACTGATGCATACATTGTAGCACTCCAGGGCTGTAATAAATTTCAAATCATCTGTTTCTGCCAGGTTGTTTTAAACCTCTGTGTGCTACTGTGTGCAGCTTCTCTCTGCAGTTGAATGGATAGTTATCTACAAGTTGGCTATCACTATTTCTACGTTCTCATGTAAAATAAGGTGTAATCAAGTTTTCACAAATATGCAGATACTTCTATACGAGATCTAAAGTTCTGTGTCTTTGAGAATAAAAATATCGAATTTGCTTTTTCAACTCACGAGGCATAAACAAACTGTGTTTCAGTTGTCAGTGGGACAAAGATGAGAGGATCTGTTAGGACCCTTTAAATTAATCTGCTGAATGTGATTCTTTTGCAGACCACAGATGACATCCTTGTGGCCTCAGCAGAGTGTCCCAGCGATGATGAGGACATTGACCCCTGTGAGCCGAGCTCAGGTGGGTTAGGTTAGTCGACTTTTTTTCTTACTTCCTTGGCTTTACTGTAAATCTTTGTTGCATGTTATATTCCTTAGAAAAACCTTACATGAATCTCTAGAAAACTCCCTTATTATGTAATGGCTCATTGTGAGATAAGGGTCCTTGCTTTTTACATGGATAAATTTTTCCACCTTTATTGAAAAAAAA